GTTAATAGTCCCTTAAAACTGGCTGTCGCAGAGTAATTAATCTTCGCGGGGCCCTGCCCTGCTACGGATCGGTATAATTACCCAGTAATTGGCAGTATCGTGTCATCAGCGCCTGTGCACGGTGGCAAGACGTGCCCACGCGCTATCACGGCCTCACGCCCCACACCGGGCCATGGAGGGATGCTGGGTGCCACCGCGGTGTCCCTGCTGCCGTGGCCCAGGGGGCTGGGGAGCTGAGGAGCTGAGCCCCCCAGGAGAGGGGACTGCGTGGTGCCGGATCCCGCAGGCACCTGGGTGGCTCGTTAGGGCTGATTAAATTCCTTTTATTTTTTTTGGTCTAAAGGCTGTAAACGGCTGGGCTGGGCAAACCGGGGATTTGCTCTGGGACTAATGCATGGGAGGGACAGGGGGACGTGGCAGGGGGTCCCTGTGGCTGCGGGTGGGATGTGGGGAGCGTCGGAGGGGAGAGGGTCCCCCGCAGATCGGCACTGCCCGGGCACAGCCTGGCTGGCAGGCAGACAGAGAGATGCTGAGCTCTTGCAGACTCGTTGCACTGCTGTCCCGGGGCTGGGTCCCAGTGTTCCGGCTCCGGTGGCAACCCCTGTGCAGCCGGTCACCAGCAATCATCTGCATGTCCGCGCCACAGGGATGGGGGTCCTGGGAGACCCTCGGCATGGGATGGCCACCTCCACGGAGAGGGACAAGCTGTGACCAGGGACACCCAACCCCAGGGCTGTCCCCAACAGTGCTCGGTCACGGGAGGGGTGGGCACCCCTTAAAGTCATACAAGCTGCAGCTGTGCATTAATTAGCCAGGGCTTAATTGCCAGGGTTTCCCCAGCAAAGGGTATGCTGGGGCAAGGCGTGGCAGTGTCCCACCGCACGTGGTCGATGTGCTTGTTGCCATCCAGGTTTCGGTGCAGTCCTGGTGTGCAGGGAAGCGTTAGTCCTAGGGGTGGCACCAGCCCATGGTGACCCACAGTGACGTGTTGGTCCTCGGTGCAGCACCGGTCCCCAGCGCAGCACAGGTCTGTGGCACCACACCGGCATCGCTCCCCGGTGCGGTACCAGTCCCCGGTGCTGCACCCATCCCCGGCGCAGCACCACTCCGTGTCCAAGGGTCGGTCCCCAGTGCCACATCGGGCACGGCGTTGGTCTGTGACAAAGCATTGGTCCCTGGTGCGTCACTGGTCCATGGCGCAGCATCAGTCCACTTGTCCCCAGCACCCCATGCTCTCTCCTCCCCCCAGGGTTCAACGGGCTGGCGAGGAAGGCTGGGGAAAGCGCCGAGGCCGAAGGGGAGCCGACGGCACTGCCCACGCCGGCAGAGCGGGAGGCCGAGGCTCGCTTCGTGAGCACGGCGCCCACGCTGAAGCTCCTCAACCACCACCCGCTGCTGGAGGACCTGCTGCACGAAGCCTTCCTGAAGAAGGACTACCTGGGCCAGGCACCATTCCTACCCGATGGCCCCCGACCA